TTTAATTTTTGGGTACTTTTCGCCAGCGCAGGCGATAAAGTGGCCAAAAATAATACAACCGACGCCAAACGGTATATCCCAGCTGGTAACTTAAAACGTCACTTTTTCAAAAACAAGTCACGACTCGTAAAATAAATTTTACTTTTGTGAGTTAAAAAAAAATAAAATAAAAATAAAAATAAATAAATAAATAAATAAATAAACGTACAAAAAATTAAGTGAAAAAAGTGGGGGGGGGGAGGGGAACCAGTGCAAAAGATATTATTTTTGTAAAATAAAAATATGGAAAGATTAATTTTCAAAATTAAAAATAAAATTTACGTTTGCAAAAAGCTAAAAATACGAAATTAAAAATAATAAATTTAATTTAGTAAAAAGTGAAAAAGAAAACAATGAAAAAGTATGCTTGTAAAATAAAAATAGAAATAATAATAAAAAAAAAAAAAAAAAAGTGGAAAAGTATTGCAATTAAAACAGCAAAGAATAAACTTAAAATAGAAACAAACACTCCGCCTGCCTGAAATAGAAAGCTTTCGTTGGCAAGCTGGAATTTGAATAGAGATGGCGTTTATTCGCTGATAGCATTTTCCCCAGGCAGTGACCATCATGGTTGTTTTTCTATTCAGCGCTATAATCTGCTCTTTTCTAAGAAGTTCTGTTAGTGTAATTCTTAACGTGTTCGCCTCCCATGTGAGAGTTTGGAAGTTCGATCCCAGCTTTTTAATGTTCATTGCAAAGTTACTGTTATCAGAATAAATAATGAAACCAATTACAAACAAATAAATGTTAAATAATGAGATGCTCAATTAAAAATAGATGACAAATTTAAAAAAAATAAAAATAATGACATATTAAAAAATTAGAACTAGTAAAGGAAAATTAATTAAAATTGATGCCATTCCAAACACATGGTTCAAGAGGTCGTTGATATAAAAATTAATAAAATAATAATAGTAACAAAATTGTGGTTCTCATAAAATAGAACTTCATAAATATGAAAAAAGCCACAAAATAAAAATGAAACGCTATTTACACATAATTTATTTACGCCACAAAATAAAATCAAAATTTAAAAAAAAAAAAAGTCATTCAAACACATCTATGTCCATGGCGACGTCATAGCATCCGGTTGTCACATGATTCCAAGAAGGCAATTGACAGGACCCCTTTCTATGATGTCACTTCCGTCGCCAGAATACCCCCCGCTTAATACTTGTTTCGTATTCTTTTATTTATATATATTTTAATTATTTATTGTTCCTAGAATGGTAATTTAATCGTTTATTTTGTGTTTAATTTAATTTGTGACCACATGTCTCCTATTTAACACTTTGCTTGTTGCATGGAATGGTAGATGTTTTTATTCTAAGTGCTTTGGAATTGTCAGAATAGCTTAATTAGAATTCGAGAGAAAGCCAATTTCGCACTTTCCTTGCATGTGCTTTGCTTTTGCAGTTGCCTTGTCACGTGATACATATGAGAGACTAAGAACATTTCTGAATGCAAAGTTGTATTGTGGTGGACACTGTGCTTACCTTCCGTTCTGTTTTGCGATTATAAGCAGCATTATCTAAATCTATTTTTTCAGTTTTCATGACTTGCTTTTCTATATATTTCTTTAATTTCAGGCTAAGACATGGAACTATCTCAGCCAATGCAATGCCTTTGGTACGCTCAAGTGACAGACAGTCACACCCTCTGGCCCACCCAATGCGGGACTCTAATTAGGACTTTTTATTGTTTAGCGCCTATGTAGGCTATATTTTCTAGAGCTCGAACACGTCGAATAAAATACTCGATAATATCGGCTAATAGTGATAATTGGAGTAAGGGAGTTCAGTCGTGAATCGGTTGCGAATCAGCTGTAAGCTGAACAACGAGTTAAGATTTACCCTGAGAGTCATTTGCAGAATTTAACAGTTTATTTCGTGTGGTAGTGAGAAATTGCTAAATATCTGTGTTCTGAGTTATTTGTCAGCTATCATTTTGCTGCTGTGCTATTTGCTGAGGTTATTTTCCTAAAAAATTATCCATTTCTTTCGCCTTATCTGGACTCATTATTTAAAGGAACATCAACGAACCTGTAGCTCGCAACAATATTAATAGATCTTCCGCTTTGAACAAACATGCTAGATTTACTCATCTAAAATTTTTGTGCGAACAGTCACTCTATTATATCGTCTACCGGTATTTGAAAGCTGCAACAAGGATTTCTAAACTGTATCAAAGAGAGTTCTGCAAGAGTTGACGGATAAGAATTTGAAACAAAGATGCAGTGAATGTAACAGAAGTTTACTCTCCTCACAGCTCTAGGTTAAAAAAGAGCCATCTTTGAATGAGTTGTCGCTGGCGACGGAACTGGGTTTTTAAAGGAATACAGACTGTAAAAGAAAATGACAGATAAAGACAAAACATCATTTGAAGCACCAGTAGGAGGTCTATAAACAAAGCAAATAATGCTACATGTTTGAGAAATTATGGAAGAAATTATCTACTATGAACTGCTCCCTGAATATAAAACAAGTACTAAAGAGCTTTACTGTAAATAATTGACACAATTAGAACAAGATGATGAAACCCCAACTCGCATTGGGTAATAGAATGGCAATATGTTTCATTATAACAACGTATAGTTTCACACAGCCCCCCCCCAAAAGAAGACGTTTCAAATATTAATTAAGAAATTTTGGAAAGGAAGTTATCTCTCTAGTACGTTCTACTAAACTAGTTCCGTTAGATTATTCTTTCAAAACCATCAAAACAACTTTAATACAAAATTTTGAATTCGTTGTATGATGTTGGAAGACAGAATTATTTGTTTTCTACATAAATCAGTGTTTCTTTTTCCGAAGTACTGAAAACTTAAAGCTGGAAACTAGTAAATAATAGAGTTAAAAATATTTTTTAGATTAGGAGTCATGGATTAAGATTCACTTTAAAAAATCGCGTTACTTATAGAATAACCTCATAGCTGAAAAAAAGGAAAGAGATTTGAAGAAAATAAGCCAGTCCTTAAACTTCACCCTCCTCCAGTAGATTTCCTTTTAACAAAGCGAAATGTTACCTCACAACCTTCAAGTCGAATTAAATCATTTAGACTGTTCTAATTGTTTCTAAATAATATATATAGGTTGCATTTAAAAATTTAATTTAAATTCTTTTATATTTGTAAACTTTAACTTATTTCTGTTATCAGAATAAAGTAAATACAAGAAAATAAATTTCTGGAATTACTTAGACTTTTATGACATTTCAAATTATATAACAATAAACTGATTTTTTGCATTTAATAATAATAAAGATCTCAATTATTATTTGATTTTAAGGTAAAATATTCGCATTTGAAAGGAAAATATATTAAGATCAGCTACTTTTGCTTTAATAACAAAAAATAAAAGAGTATAAATATCAAAAGAAAGTAAAATTTAGTATCAAATACAAACATTATGCAAAGATAATTTAATTGGATGAAATTTTTATGAGAAATCAAACCGTTGATATCAGATCTAATTCTAGAAAATACTCATATCCGTCCAATTGCTCTGTTTTAATACTGCACTTATTACCCTAGCCTTGAGCTTCGGTATTTTTACTTAAAACTAACTTACTCATTCCACAATCGAATTTTCGCAACTTACAGAACAGTTTTAGCTGTTGGAGGCTCTCGACTATTTCAGTCTAAAAATGTCCTATTAAAGTTATTAATAGAATTTACATAGAAGTTTCTAATTTAAAGATCAGCTAACAGAAATTTCTTTATGAATGATAAATAAAACAGAACATTTATCTTGTTTCCAAGTTCATTCTTATTATCTTTTCATAATTTAGGCTACTGAATAGTTCTTAATGAAGATGTTCGTAGAAAATTTCTGGAAGATATTTGCTGTTAATATTTATGCAGACTTGAAAAAGTACAGGGTGTTTATAAGGTCCCGGACCCATTTTGATGTTTAATAACTCATAAAATAATGAAGATATAAACAAACTTATGGCATTTATTGATGGAATAACTTATATATATTATCCTTTTCAGATTTGAATAGCTTTACTTTTGTAAATATTGTCTGCGCGTATGGTTAATTTCAGATAATTTCATTTTCCAGTCTTAATATCTGTACTTTTCTAAATATCGTCTGTAATATCGTCGTACCATCCTTTCATCTTTCTGGCATTGTTAATCGCCATAATGTGCGCATATGGGGATCTGAAAAACCCCCATAAATACCGTGAGGCACAAAGGAATTCCCCAAAGGTTATTGTGTGGTGTAGACTAATGCACAATCGATTCACTGGGCCTTTCTTTTTTACAGAAAAGGTGGTCTCATCAGTCGTATACTTAGACATTTTGGAAAACTTCGTATTTCCACTACTAGCCACATGTCTTTTTGCAACAAGATGGTGCACCACCTCATTGGGGTACCATCGTTCGTAATTCTTTGAATGACCATTTTACAGGAAGATGGATTTAGCGAGGAGGTCCAATTCCTTGGCCACCCACATCACCTGATATAACGCCGCTGGACTTTTTCCTTTGGAGATTTGTAAAGGAAAACGTTTACAGGAGGAGAGTGTCGAACATTGATGACCTAAAAGCCAGAATTACAACCGCAATAGCCTCTGTGCATGCAGACATGCTTTCCGGTACCTGGCGTGAAATTGAATATCGACTTGATATTCTCCGTGCGACGAAGGGGGCACACATGGAAGTTCATTGACAAGGGTCATGAAACTTTTTGAGTCTATCTAACCATTTATGTAATTAATTTTAATCTATCTTTATTATTTTATAAGTTATTAAACATCAAAATGGGTCCCGAACTTTATAAACACCCTGTAGTTTTGGTAAAATCCTAATACGGTACGGCTTCGGCGCGATTTTGAAAATTGTCGTCAACACTAAAATGATTCGCTTACTGCTCCTCATCGCTAGAAGTCGCCAATCCTGTCTGTACCGTATATTAGGATTAAGCCGTAATTTTATTTCGATGTGTTATTCTTACCTGCAAGTAGCAGTTTTGACAGTCATACGGGAAAACGAGCTGTTGCTGATACAGGGGATCCAAAGTCTTTCTTGCGGTTGCAGTCTTTTGTTTCGCGATGCATTTTCGGCCATCCATTAAATATACTTTTACATATGGAGCTGAAAATACAAATTCAGTGTTACGTAAAAGTACGAAGAATAATATTAATTAGAACAAAAGCGAAAACAGAAGGAAAAAATATAGAAAGACATGTATTGCTCGTAAGCGGTCACACGAAAACTTTTACCATAGTGATCAAGCTTTTTATGATAAAGTTTTTAATAGCAGCATTCAAATAGTAACATTTCCAGAACTTTAACGCATAATATAAAAGTTTACAGTTGGGTGCTGGTTGGCGTTATTTATCCGCAAACGGCAGTTAAAATTCGACAGTTAAAATTCTAATAATTTAAAATAAGGCCAAAATTAAAAATACGTGAATTAAACTTAAGAAATACATTGACACGTAAAAAAAATAAATAAATAAAATAAATAAAAATAAAAATAAAAAAGTTTGCCATAATATTGGGAAAAGAGAGATGATTTTGGGTTACCAGGAAACTGGTACTATAGGGTCGACGTTTGGCGCTAGTATCCAAGAGGCACCGTTTTCTACACTAAAATCAATATAAATATTGCATAAAGGTAATTATTACATTTTGATCGTTATAACTTATCTAGTGCGTAGCACAGAATTATAAATTGAACAATTATTAGCATACTGCGGTAAATTTTAAATACTGCAAACTCTTGAAAAATATTTTTAATTGCAAAGTAGATATTATTCATAAATCAAACTTATTAAGAAATTATACTGCCCTCTATAATTTTGTTCATGATATCCTCAATGCATGATTACAACAGATAACTTCTTAAGTTGTTTTTCTAACGCGACTTCCTAACTCTAGCAAAACAGAAATTGTTGCCACTTAACTTGCGGAAAATATATGTTGAAAAACCTCATGAAGCTCCAGCGAATAAAGCATATAGCTACCTTTAGAATAATTATGCCTTCTCTGCATTAAATAAGTGCGAAAGTCTGCACATAATATCATTTAGATGGAATAATAATTTCATAAGAGTTTTTTTTTTTTTTTTTTTTAATTTCATTACACTTCTGGGTCTATGAATCTTCTATTTATCTTTTAAAAACTAAGCGGCGCAATTATTTCCAGTTCTGGAAATGGCAGCAGTTGAAAATCGTTTCTGCTTCTATCACAAGAAATATTCGATTATATAATAGTTGTACTTTTACCAAATATGATATCTGAAAAATATATATTTTAAAAGAATTAATTGCATTAAAATAAATGAAATCGATGCATTTTTACTTCCTTATACGAAGTAAAGGAAGTATTGTAATTTCCAAAATTTTCGGGTATCATATTTCAAAGAAAATATCCGTTTTGACCGCTATTGAATGCAATTTAACGATGTTTTTGCGCGACATCTGTACGTAAGGACAGAATGAAGGACTATTTTACCCAAAACGGGTTGCAAAAAGGATATAAAATGTATTCAGAAGAGATTTTCTCGTGACGTTTATAGGGTATGTAATACGTATGTATGTTTGTATGTACCTCGCGTAACTCAATAACGAGTAGCCTCAGAACATTGAAATTTTGTATATAGGACTGCTATAACATGTAGTTCTGCAATTCCCTTTTTGGTTGCAATCGGCTGCCTCAAAATTATGTATACATACACATACCCACTCTGTTACTCGGCTCCGTGAGCTCAGTTCTTTTTATTCTTATATGTTGGTAAATTGTGCCTTTTTTACTTTAAAAATGATTGATTTATGTTGTTCTTATCTTCCGGTTAAGGTTTTTATGCCTTTATTTAATCTGTATGCAACATTTGTAGAATTATCAACAATTTAAAAGTTGTTTAAGTGCGGTTAAACCTACCTTTTTATCGTAACAGCCATATTTGTTTACATTTGAAACTTAGCAGAAGAGTGAATTAAGTCAGTTTCTGCATCTCCAGTGTCTTTTCGCGGAGCGGGACCAAAAGTAAACTTTCAGTTTTGTCCACCGAAAAATCTGCCTTTTTGCCCGCCGGCCAAATGGCTTGTTTTCGCGTAGAAACTCTAATTTTAATTGTAAAAATTGTTTTAACTGTATTTGGTGTGTAATATTTTTCAATTTTTAATGAAGATATTTTGAGGTTTTATATATTTTTGCCTTGCCGCGAAGTGAGAACTGAATTAATTGAATGAGAAATATATCTTTAATGAAATTCGAGGAAATAAGTTTAAATGAAATGCAGGAGAAAATGTGTATAATTTAATATTCTGTGCAATTATGTGGTGTACACATCAGATTTTTTTTTTTTTTTTTTTTGAATAATTATAAATACTTAGGAATTCGGATTTCGTATTTAAATAGCTAATGTTAGTAGAATTATAAATAAAATTGTTTTATTCCCCGCGCAATGCAGCGCGTGACGAATATTAAAGGAAAGCTAAGCCGGAAAGTTAAAAATACAAGAGCACGTGTATTTAACACTTAATAAATAAATATCTCTTTTTAATTTCGAGAAAGTTCCAGAAAATTCTCGCGCGCGATTTAAAATCATATAAAAAAGAGGAAAACATCTCAATTCGATTATTAGTTAGTTTGTTTTTGTTTTAAGAGTTTGTTTAGAAAACTGCACTTGATTGTAGCGAACTCGCGGATTAGCTTTCTTTAGCTGTTTTGAATTAACTTCTGTTGAACGGTTGAGTAGTTAAAAAATAACTACTGTGAGATATTTGTAATACTGAAAGAATATCTGAGGGAATTTAAGGATTTTGTGATAATAATAAATTTTTGTTCATTTTTCATAGGACTTGTGCATTCATTTCGTAACAAACCCGTACTCACGCAACAAATTTTGGTGTCAGAAGTGGGATCTGAATGCCAATAACAAGAGCGATGGGAGAACAACTAAGACAGTTGATATCAGCATTTGCCTCGTTTAAAGAAGAAATCAAAGCGGGCCAAGAAGAAATGAAAGCGGGACAGAAATTCGTTAAAGGCCAGATGATGTCTGTTAAAGATGAGATGGAAGCAGGTCAAGAGGAAATGAAAAGAAAAATTACCTGAGCAATAGAAAACAAATTCGAGGCTATAGAAGGTAAAATAGACTCGGTCGAAAGTAAGGTTGGAGAAATTGAAGAAAGAGTCTCCTCCTTCAAAGAACAAATAGAAGGGAGAGTTTCTGGAGGAACGAATTCACGGAAGAGTGTGCCGTCCAACACCAAATCGAACAACAAACTGATGATAGGATTTCTGCAGTAGCCAAAGAAGTGGATACTTTAAAGAAATTCGTAGCGACGGTAGGGAGCAATAGTGATAGTTTTAAATTCTTACCGATGCCTGCTCGTCCATCTCTGAAGCTATCGACATATGATGGGAAAACCTCTTGGCAAGTTTATAAGGGGCAGTTTTCAATAGTGGAGGATGCGAATGGATGGGATTCCCAAGCTAAAACCTGTCATCTCGCCGCTTCTCTGAGAGCAGACGCAGCGGATATTCTGCAGACTCTTCCCGAAAACCAGAGACTTGACTTCGAAGCTCTATCCAGCGCATTGGAGCTGAACTTTGGCGAGAAATGTTTAAAAGACTAGAGCAGGCTTCAAATAAAATCCCGTCAACAGAAGCCCACAGAATCACACCAGGAGCTCGCTGCGGATGTTGAAAGGCTGTCCCACCTCGCCTTTACGGAGTGCCCGAGAGAAGCGAAGGAAATCCTGTCCCTGCAGTATTTTATCGATGGCATCCGGGATTCCAAAATACAGAAGGCTCTACGAATGGCGGATGTTAAAGATTTAAAAAGCGCTCTAGTGTACGCCATGAAATTCGAGGCAGCTCAGCAAGCAAGGGATCAAGTCATTGTTCGTCTAGACGATATAACCAGAGAACTCAATGCATTGAGAAAAATTATCAATGACAAGAAACCGACCTTAAAATGTTGGAACTGCGGAGCTGAAGGGCACATACGGCGGAACTGCAGAATACCAAAGGGCACGGATGTTAAGTCCGCTCCTAGCAAGCAGCAGGGAAACTAATTAGTGGCCATCTCGCGGGGCGGAGGTTGCCAGATAATGAAAAGCCCCAGTTTAAAGCGCTTCAGATTTCTGCAGTGAGAGGCGGCAGTAATGGACTTTTCGTAATAGGACATATTAATGGAGTTCCCTTGCAATATGACTATAGATACAGGAGCCAGTGTTACCATCATCCGAAAAGATTTGGCTCAGCAACTGGAAAGCAAACTTATCTGGACGCCACCCTGCGCTGCGTTGCCATACAGACTGTGTCCGGTGAGAAGATTGACATCGAGGGGAAAATAAACGTGAATATCACGTTTGGAAGTGCCGCCTACCATCACATATGTGGCGGATATTACAGATCCATGCATACTCGGACTGGACTTTTTAAGGAAATATAATTTTCCTTAGACTTCAAAAACAATAAACTGCATTCTGCCTCTGAGGACATATCGTTATTTGGAATTAATGATGAAGAAGTTAAATCTGTACATAAAATCATAGCACAAGACAATATCACAATACTGGCAAGAACAGAAATTTTACTTCCTGGATCCATAGCCGAAAACAGAAATTTCCGCTACGGGATCATAGAATATCCCAATAACTGTAATAGCCCGAAAGGAGTACTAGTAGCCTCAACACTCGTCGACCTATCGAGAACAGTTATCCCGGTGAGAGTTGCCAATGTTACTGAGAGGGCGAGAGTTATTAAGAAAGGTAAAGTTTGCTGAGCCAGTAACCAGCGTTGAAAGAAAGAGTAACACCCCGGAATCTGTGTCCTCAGAGAGCATTACATCGGAGTTATTGCAGAATGGGGATTTAAACGATGAAGAGAGGAATGCTGCTGATCGCGTCATTAAAAATCTTAAAGTTGTTTTCTCCCGCTCATCTTCTGACGTAGGTCGAACCAGTTTGACACAACATCAAATCGATACCGGCGATCATCCCCCGATCAAGCAACATTCAAGACGTCTACCGTTTGCTAAACAGGAAGAGGTACGAACACTTTTAAAGGATATGGAAGAAGGGCATGTTATCGAACCTTCAGAAAGTCCATGGGCATCTCCTATCGTCCTCGTTAAA